TTCTACTTCTACTTCTACTTCTACTTCGACTTCGACTTCGACTTCGACTTCCACTTCCACTTCCACTTCCACTTCCACTTCCACTTCCACTTCCACTTCCACTTCCACTTCCACTTCCACTTCCACTTCTACTTCTACTTCTACTTCTACTTCTACTTCTACTTCTACTTCTACTTCGACGAGGGCTACGACTGGGACTAGGACTACGGCTACGACTACGACTGCTACTCCTACTCCTCCTACTCCTCATACTCCTCCTACTCCTCTTGCTCCTCCTATTCCGCCTACTCCTCCTACTACTCCGACTACTCCTCCTTCTCCTACTACTCCTGCTACTACTCCTCCTCGTCTTCCTCCTCCTACTCCTACCTCCTACTCCTGCTCCTTCTCTTCCTCCAACCCCTACTCACTACTCCTACTCCTCTTACCCCTCCTCCTGCTCCTACTCCTACTCCTCTTACTTCTCCTCGTCCTCCTACTCCTGCTCCCACTGCTACTCCTGCTCCTACTGCTCCTCCTGCTCCTACTGCTCCTACTGCTACTGCCGCTGCTACTGCTCCTGCTCCTGCCCCTGCTACTGCTACTGTACTGCTACTGCTACCGCCACCGCCCCCGCCGCCCCCGCCGCCACCGCCACCGCCACCACCGCCAACACGACCACGACCACGCCTCCTCCTCCTCCTCCTTTTCCTCCTCCTGCTCCCATAACCTTCCATATCATCTCCCTGTTCGCTGCCAGGTTGCCAGGGGCCACTTGGTTTTCCCTTTCGTGTGAGTGAGTGATTGTGTGTGTGAGAGTATGTGCCCAATGATTCTGCCGACAATGGTGTAAATGCGTTGCACGAACTCTACACCCTGGGCATAGGTCCCTTAAGGCCCCCAGCCCCCCAAAATCCTAAATCCAAACCCTAAACGGTCCAAGCCTTCATCTCTGAGGTATCACACAGGGGGAGCCATTGCCGAGCTCCGGCCTCAGCCTGTAGGGTGTTTCCATGCACTCTTTGGCGGGATTTTGGGGTTTTACGTTGGGATTAGGGCTTAGCGGGTTTAGTCTTGGGTTTAGGGCTTTGGCGGTTTCGGGTTTAGGGCCCGCCAGGGGTCTTAGGGGCCCGGGCGAGCATGCAAGGAGAGTTTCTGAGTTTGAATCCAGTCTAGTAGCTCCAAGAATCCAAGACAGAATTAGTCAGAGTCGAACATAAGAAAGATCCAAAAAGTGGGAGCCGAATGAGACCCATAAGACTTTGAGTCAATTCTCGTCGCGGCTGTTCACTCCAAAGTCTAAGCCAGGCACTACACCCTGGACACTAAGCTAAACCTGAAGCCCACAGCCCTCGTCTGGCAGTGTCCGAGTTGCAAGAGCATAAACCGTAGACTTGACTATGGAGCCGACAGGGCGCACCCTAAACACCAAACCTTCATCCCGAAACCCTGAACCAATGAGAAATTCCTTCTCAACCTTGTTCATTAATTACCCTGCCAAGCGACGCGATCAGCAATGCAGGAGGCAGAAAAGCCTTTAAAGTCTGGATACGGAGAGATAGTCTCTTTGGCAGTGGATGCCGAATCCATGTGGTACTCATCCGAAGGCCGCAAAGGAGGCACGTGCAGACGGGGTCTCTCCAGATGAACTGTCTTGAGTATTGAACGTTGTCTCCCCAAATCAACCTCGCCTGTGACCATAGATCGTAAGCCCCTAGGCTTGAAACCTAACCTGAGCCGTGGTCTACGTAGACCCTATAACCTAAACCCTGGAGCCCGGAATCCTAGCCCCTAGGCTAGGCCTTTTGAAAACCACCCTAAAATCCCTCCAGTTTTTTGAGGGTTTTGGGAAAGCCCGAGCTCCTGAAAAGCAGGCCCCCGCTGCAGTCCTGAGGTCCTCGGTGCCCGTGCGATCACCCAAGTGGGGCTTCGGCACGTCTGCGCGGGAGGCCGGCGTCTTCGTCGGATGGAGGGAGTTTTTGTTTGCTGTTTAAAGGCTTACGGAGTCGAGGGTGGTGGGAGCCACCGTGAGCAAGACCTCCATCAGTGATCGTAAGACAGGTGGAGGGTGATCCTTATCGTCGTTGTATAGTAAAATAAGTAAATTAATGATGACCGTTTCTATTTTCTAGCCATGCCCCCCCCCCCTATGCCCAACCCAAGCCAAGCACTCATCTTTGAAGATCATCCTCGTAACCCTCAATCCCCAACCCAAAGCCCCAACTCAAGAAAACAAAACCCTCACTCCCCCAACCCAAGTCCCAACATACCCCCATACCTCGAAGCACTCCCGAAAAGTACCCTCGACCCCTAACCCGCGAAAATAGAAATGGTCATCTCAAATACACTGTCTATACTAGGAATAAGGTTTGATGCAAAGGTTGTAACTACAATATACTTGTAATCCGTAAATTTCACGGATTATTTTTGGATGTATTGGCATCACGGTTTGCGATTTCAGCGGCCTGCGCCCCCTGTAACTCGTGTTACCCATGTTACCAATCTCTCACTGTTGATCTGTCCCACAGACAGCAGTCCAAGCATCATTTCTCGATTTTCCCAGCAAGTGCAGCTGTCTTTCGACCATTTCTTCAGCCATGCATTTGTCACATGTCTTGACAGTTGGGACGCTTGCCATATTCCTATTGCTGCCTAGAACGCCAACGCAATCGTCTCTTCAAGTCCGTTCAGGTTTCCAGCACGTTCCAGGACACGTTCCAGTGTCGGGTGACCCGAGGTTTGCATTGCCGCGGTTTCAACGTCTGAGTTGCTTGCTGTGCAAAGTTCATCGACGGACTCGGTCTTTGACGTTCTCACGTGACTCCAAGACTCTTTGCCAGGCATGCAACGAACTGGAGCAGTCAGCAATGTTGCGCCCAGACTTGGGACCAGAATTATTGGCAGTCGCTGCGGGCTTTTGGCATACCTGTGCGGTGCGACCAGATGGTCGGTTGGTGTGCTTTGGAGGTGGACACAGCACAGATGGACGGTGTCGTGCGCCAGCAGACTTGGAACCGGTTTTGGCAGTCGCTGCGGGAGCTGAGCATACTTGTGCAGTGCGAGCAGATGGTCGGTTGGTCTGCTTTGGAGACAACGAGGATGGACAGTGTGATGTGCCAGCAGACTTGGGACCAGTTTTGGCAGTCGCTGCGGGCGGTTCCCATACCTGTGCAGTGCGTGCAGATGGTCGGTTGGTCTGCTTTGGAAACAACGAGCATGGACAGTGTGATGTGCCAGCAGACTTAGGACCAGTTTTGGCAGTCGCTGCGGGCGCTTGGCATACCTGTGCAGTGCGAACAGATGGTCTGCTGGTCTGCTTTGGAAACAGCAAGTCTGGACGGTGTGATGTGCCAGCACACTTGGGACCAGTTTTGGCAGTCGCTGCGGGCGTTAGGCATACTTGTGCAGTGCGAGCAGATTGTCGGTTGGTCTGCTTTGGAAACAACGAGGATGGACAGTGTGATGTGCCAGCAGCCTTGGGACCAGTTTTGGCAGTCGCTGCGGGAGCTGAGCATACTTGTGCAGTGCGAGCAGATGGTCGGTTGGTCTGCTTTGGAGACAACGAGGATGGACAGTGTGATGTGCCAGCAGCCTTGGGACCAGTTTTGGCAGTCGCTGCGGGAGCTTGGCATACCTGTGCAGTTCAAACCGATGGTCAGCTAGTTTGCTTCGGCGACCGCATGTTTGGTCAATGTGAAGTTCCCGACCACTGGGAAGACAATATCTATGTTCAACCGTAGGGTTTTGTCGGGTTTAGGGTTCAGCGTTGCCATTTCAACCGTAAGGGGCTTTCGGGCGGATAGTGTGCACGCCCGGAAGCCTCTGTTGAGAGAGGCTTCAGCACAACACCTGGGCCCGGTTTCCCAAGTAATATGTTATGGGTTCAGGGTTTATGTTACCCTGTCACCCTGTCCTCCGAAAGGCAGAGCACCAACAACCCCAAGCTCATGAACTCATGAGCCACATTAGAAAGGATGTGGTTTTTGAATTCACATGCAGGAGTACCTTAGAGTTCAGGGCTTTGGGTGTTGGGTGTAGAGTTCTGGGGTTTTGGGGTTTAGGGGTTTAGGGGTTTAGGGTGTTGAGAGAAGTCTGACGGAGATGTGTTCGTCGCAGTCTTTGAGCGGAGCTAGACATTGGGGCCATTGAGGATTGGCAGTGTTCTATGTGCCTTTTGTTTCGTCGCATCCGGCAGCTCCGTGCGTAGAAAACCTGAATTCGTAGCGTTGTCGTGGGACGGGGGCCCGAAAACTTGTCGCTTCTGCACTTATGGTGAATCCTCCTGGAGCTGCTTTGCTGTCGTGTTGCGGATGCAGGGCCAGCTTTCAAGCCAAGGACCTGGTCGGGGGGCCCAAATCCATCAGGGTTTTGGTTTCTGTAGGAATTAGGCTTAGGGCGTTTGGCTTCAGGTCGTGCTCACAGTTCACAAGGTGTGCGGCAGTGTGGGAGACAAACAGACAAACAGACAGAGCCCTCCACAATCGGGCTCCAGCGGCCAATCGTCATACTGCGATGCACTCGAAATTTCCAGTGTCGCTTTCCGCCTATGCCCCACTCTGCGGCAAACCCTATAATGATAATTATAATAAAACAATAGTAAGAACAAGAATAAGAATAACAATACTAATAATAACAACAATAATAAGAACAATACTAATGATAACAATAATAACAACAATAAAAAACATTAATAGTAATAATAACAATAATCGCAATAACCTTAAACCTGAAACCCTCAACCGAGGGTCACAGAGCATCGTCCCGAGGTCCTGGGTCCTACGACTACGCAGCGAACGGTGTCTCCAAGGGACCCGCTCTTCGCGGGTTTAGGGTTTAAGGGTTTAGGGTTTAGGGTTGAGGGTGAGGGTTTAGTGTTTAGGGTTTAGGGTCCAATGCGTGAGTGTTTTCTCTGGGGAACTCGGATGTAGAGCGTATAGGGATTGCCTGTTTAGGATTTTAGGAATGGAGCCCTCCAGTCAGCATCCTAAGCAGCAGTCACTGCGAGCTCTACACCTTGCATCAACCTTAACACGACCGTGTCGAAACCTTGCAAGCATTCCTAACCCTTCAACAGAAAACTCTACTCTCTGGGACCCCATGCAGCCGGCACTTCAACGAGCGCAAATCGCCAGCGAGTTCCATAACCCTAAACCCTATAAACCCTGAACCCCAGGAATAACCCCAAACCCTAAACCCTAAACCCTAATCTCTAAAGCCCTAAACCCTAAACCCTAAACCCTAAACCGTGAAACACCAAACACCAGGAAGTCCGAAGTACTCCATGCGCCCAAAGATGGAGACGCGAAGGAGAGGCTTCTGGCTTGAGGGCGTTTAGGCTGGCCCAAAGATGCAGACCTGCCTCCGGCTTAGGGCTTAGGGGTTTTGGGTGGCCCATACATGTATGCACATCTAGTTGGACAGTTATATATGTCAAGTCAGCTAAATAACTATAGTATTTACAATATACACATACATACATACATACCTACCTACCTACCTACCTACCTCCCTACCTACCTACCTACCTACCTACCTACCTACCTACCTACCTACCTACCTACATATATATATATGTAAGAGAACCCTTTATGTATTATTTGACCCGTGGCCTGAGTGACGATCTTGGTCTGTATTCCTAATCCTTTTAAAACTTTGAAGATTTTGGAGCTCCCTGGGCCACCAAACCCTTTAAAACTTTTAAAAGCTTTAAAAGTTTTAAAAG